CCTTTATGCTATTCACAGGAACAAGGTTTATATCCTCCCTGGTAACATTCTAATGCCCAAAATGTCACACAAAAATACCAAATCTCCTTTCTCCAAATTCCAACTATGAGAGAATTTAGAGGAGACAGACTGAAACAGTAATAGAAACACGCAACACCAACGTGCGACGATCATTCATCCCGAACCTTTGACGAGTCATCATTGTGCCGCCCGCTCACGAGCACACGCATTCATCCAATTGCAGACATTCTTTGTCTACTAGGGGACGGGAAGGGAAAGGAAGCAAAGGATAACAAGTGTATTATGTACACAGTACAAAGTTTTAAGCGTATCTAGGCATTCCAGTTGCTGGATCAATGGCAGTTGAATATAAACACACTTATAATGCTGTACTGGAAACACTGGATGTGTGTAGGGAAGATGGGGTTGTTGAGATGGGAGGGGGGAGTTCTGCAGCACCATTATAGCTGGGAAGGAACATGCCCCGACTCACGGATCTGAAAATTACACCTACTGCACAGAGAGGAGCAATGATCTACATAGGAATATATATATTATACTGTATTATATATAATATATATTATTATATATATATTATATATATATATACAGTATACTGTATATAATTTATAATTATTTATATATTTTAATAGGGTACAGCCCCGCCTCCCTGGAAGTTAATCCCCTTGTTGGCTGCCCAGTAACTAAAATGAATCACAAGCTAGCAACCCCACTGGCACTGTCTTTATCTTACATTTGTATGAACATGACCAACTGTGGCATTCAGGCTTTTCTAGTACGAAGTGGTTGCTGTGTCTTTTAAAGTAGTTTAGGGACTGTCAGGAAGTACTTTACTCCCCTATAAAAAACATTATGTGGCCTGTGGCAGTACAGTCCAAGCATTCTTGCTCAAGATGCCATACTAATGGTCGAGGCGGCGCACTCTGACCCGCTGCTTGTAGTGATACTCCTTGAGGTAGTTGTTGAGTGGCTTGGGTAGACGAAGGTTATTGATGCCATCGTAGGTGGTAGTGGAACAAATAACAGCACGACACAAGTGCTGCAATGGGAATGGGAACGTACGAGCAAGTGGGTTAGTTAGCATGGGCTCAAAAAACATACAACAAGATGGGTCCTTGTAATGCTCTATCAAGCCACACACAGTATCTGATGCGAATACGCCTGGATCGTGCGAGTCAAAACTAAACTTATGGTTCCACTGTTCAATTCGAGCATGGAGAGAGCGACCATAGCGTCTGAAAGAAACAGAGAAGAGATACTCTTCTTGCGCAGAGTCCCGGAGCAAGAAAGTTCCTTCAGGTCGGTTGTCAAGGAGACGTTCAGCTTCATATCTATCCATCTTGCCCCAGTAGAACACACAATTAGTTATACTCAGAAGATCAGGTACAAGACAATGAATGTAATCCACTTGTGTGTGCACAGTGCGTTGCAATAGAGAACCATCCCCAGCTAGACGGCCAACCTGCTGCAAGAAAGTTTCCTCTGTGAGTGAGGTAGCAACAGAGCGTGGCCCAGCCAGACCCAAACGAAGAGAACGCTCCAAAAGCAGCTGGAGGTCAAGCATAGAATTATAGGGTAAGGGTAAAGGAGTGACTGCACCTGCTTGCTGTAGCTGCAGTTGGTGCTGATGCTGTAACTGTAGATGTGTGAGAGCATGATGTGCAGGCGTGAGGCTGTGATGTGTTGGAGGGAGGGTAAGGGACCCTGATCCAAATCCTGGTGGTGGTTCCACACCCTCTGCCATCTCTCGTGCCCTTTCCTGTCTTGCATGTTCTTCCCAGTCTTCAATTGGATAAGCTTCTGGGTTAAACCTAGAAAGATCAATGACAGGAGCCCTTAGAGCTACAGCACCACCAGGGCTTGCGGCTATGCTTACTCCTACGCTGGAGACTGTGGGTACATCCTGGCCAGTGGGGTGTCCATGATGAGTGTGGTGGTGGTGGTGATGAGGGTGGAGTTCAGGATCAGGTCTCCTTAAGCTTGGACACATGCAGGCACCACAACCCACACTGGAGGTGACTTCGGGTTCTGGTTCAGACTTGGAAGGCCGTAGTCGGCAATTTAGTCGAAATGTCCAGGGGGTCTTCTTCTTCTTGGGTTGTGGTGGTATGTCTCTGGTTGGTGTTTTTGTCTTGTGGCGATGCCTCTTAGGAAAGGCCAGAGTACGGAGGCGGCCTCCTCGAGGAGGTGAAGGTCGTGTCTCCATTCCACCCACACACTCCACCTCCAATTGTACACGCACCCTACATGAGGAGCACCAGTGACCACATCCACTATTGCTACTACAAGTTCCACCTGTCCCATTACATCTGCTGCTACTACTGCTCGAGACAGTGGCACTGGCAGTAATGGGAGAGTCTGGCCTCTGCTGGTGATGATAGTGATGGTGGTGATGGGGAAGGCTGCGAGGGGGAGTCACAACAACTGCATGAGAGGTGGGATCCGGGGCAGATGTAGTGCCATAAATGGCAGCTGTTGATGACAGGCCACCACCACAGCTGCATGATGAGCCTGAGCCACAACACCCACTGGCAAGGCTTCCTACCTCCTGCTGCTGCAAATGTCTTTCCTGATGTTCCCTATCTAGCTGCAGTTCTCTCATTTCTCGTTGTTGCTGTTGGTGCTGCACTCGTTGACGCACCTGATGGGGACTGTGTGTGAGATCCTGTGTTGAATCCATGGCCCAGTGAGATACTTGGTGCTGGTGCAGTTGGTGCTGGTGATGGTGATAGCTAGCCCCCTGGCCCATGGTTGGCTCGAGGGGCACGGCTCTAGAGGCACGGGTCAGGGCACACCTGACCTCATGCCTGCAACTTTCACCTGCCACCCTCACCACTTCATTTCCACACTTGTTCTTAGTAACTGTTCTTTTCTTCCCACGAAACTTGCACTACAAAGCGTTGCTTTGTACCTCACCAAACAAGCAGATGTGCAGTTTTTAGCTTTTAAGTCTATGCAGTCTCACAATAACAAAAATACTTCACACTGAGATCACCAATTAATTCAATAATTGCCATGTCAAAGATGCGAGAAGCATTATACGGAGAGAGAACGGTTGTCCACACATTGTTGGCACCAGCAAACATGAAGACGATCCTCCTGCCACCCTCTGCTATACATCTTGCACATCACTCTCCAACTCTCAATTGTCTGTAGAAAAGAAAAGAAGACATGTTAACTAAACCAAGTACACCAGGAATAAAGAACACTGATCAAATTATGTGATGACATGATGCAATCATTGCTAACCTTCTGAACATCACAATTCCTAGAGCAGTGCTTCCCAAACTCTTCAGCCACTACACATTTTTCATATAGTGTTCTTATTAATGGCCCCCCCCCCCTACTCAGTAAAGGTCCCCGTCTGGTATCCTCTGGTATCATAATCTGCTCACTGCTTCAACTTATGGCCCCAGTTTGGAATCAGTGCCCTAGAGACCACCTAAACACAATTTTGTGTATGAACCTTGGAGCACTCTCACACAACAAACATTCTTCAGGCACAAGTAAGCATAGGACCTTCAACCAGTGAGGCCTCACAAGCAAGCCAAGGACCTTTAACCAGTGAGGCCTCACAAGCAAGACAAGACCTTCAACCAGTAATGCCTCACAAGCAAGACAAGACCTTCAACCAGTGATGCCCCACAAGCAAGACAAGGACCTTCAACCAGTGATGCCCCACAAGACAAGGACCTTCAACCAGTGATGCCCCACAAGCAAGACAAGATCCTTCAACCAGCGAAGCTTCAGCAGTTGGCAGTTAAAACTGACCTTACCAAACTCATATACTGTACAGTAATTTCAAGTGTTAATTTTTGTGTTGTGTTAGATTAGGTTAAGTAAATTGTTAAGAATTCTTAACTTCAAGATGTGTAGCATCAAGAAGAAGAAGAACTACAACAAGGAAAGTTGAAGTTTCTGTTTCAAGTTAATTACAGTACTGTTCTTGAATATTTTATTACAATAGGCTGTGTGTGGCAATTCAAATTATGTTGGCTGTGGTAAATAAAATTGCGAATGTTTACTTTTGGAATTAACCGGTAAAAAGTCAGCTAATCCAGTTGTCGGGCTTATCTGGATGGGGGTTCTTCCCCATACAGTTCGGGTAATCGAGCTCATACATTAAATTTAAGGAACAAACCTAATTCTGGTACTACAGTATTTGAATTAACCCTTAAACTGCTCAGCATAAGGCACTGGGAAGCGAAAAATATTCATATTGTGTAAAAACGACTTAAAAAGTTAAACAAATCTCCAACTTGTTGGCTTCAGCACCATGAAACTTTCATCAAAATATTTTCATAAATTGAGTTTAGACAAATTTTTTAAAAAGAAGAACATTTTGTTAAGGAGAACAGCTCCTATTAACTAAACTGATGGATAATGCATTTATAAAAGAGATGCAAGCACCTGTCCAATGCACAAAGAAGAAGAATAGTACTGTAGTAAGAAGTGTCCACAAAGTGGATATGCAGCTGGTGCCATTATAACATTACTGAGTAATACATAATAACAAATAATTATGAGTAAGTATTTTATTATGCTCTAGTTTGTTATATATCATATAAATACATTGTCCAATGTTAATACTGTATACTGTATGTTACAGTACTTTCATCAATGTCGAAAAAAATTATGGGATTTTTTTTTTAGATTTTAGTTTTTTCCTACTTTGTTTATTATGTGATTTTGTTGTAACCTTCACATCCTGGAGAGTGCATACCAGTCCCAAACTATTTCAAGATAAAATGAAACTTGTCAACAAATAAATCAATCACAACTCGCAGACCTTGGGGCTTTGAATTTTTGGGGCGGACTTTTTCAGATTTCAAACTATTTTCTTTCTCTTTAGGTTGTTTTGATGATTAGGGACCAGTTTAAGTTTTTTTCACTTATATAAAGTATACCCTAAATATATCCCCTAAATCGTTATAATTACTACAATTATCCCTATATTTAGTTTTTTTGGAGGGGGAGGTGGGGGTTATTTTTCTTGATTTCACTTCAACACATATTGACCTACAACTTTCACATATTCGAGTATGAATGCCAAACAACATTTATTAGCCACTGAACTGCTCTGCCTACAAATATGGCAACCCCCTGGGGTATAAGAAATAAATTCTTTCCAAAAAATTATTTTTCTTCTTATACAGTATTGTTAAAATGCAGTCTCTAGCAATATAAATTTTTTATATTGTTAAAATGTGCTCTCTGATCACGGGAAACTACAAAAAAATATTGTATGTGACATACTTTAGCTATGATGGAGCTGAGAAGTTGAGCAATTTATGGGTGCCGAGTGAATAGACGCCCGGGAACACTCAACCCGCCACCCCATGGGGTGGCAGTTGCCACAAACATAATTTTTCATAATTATTTCAATGTGTCTCATTCGTTTCTACTGTTTTTTTTTTTTTGCTGTAATATTATTCAAAAGTGTATAATTTATGTACAGTAATGTAGTTAAATGTGTGAAACTTAGTTCTGCTAAAAAATTTGGGGCTCATATATGGTGACATGTATATTATATTCTAAGATCAATTAAACCGTGTTTTTGCCGTTATTACACTATAAACACACACGTTATATGCAGTATAACTATCTACATCTTTGTACACCATAATGAGCCACAAAGACCGTGTGTTCAGTGTATATAAAAAGAACAAGAATCCAAGGTCAGCCTGGCGGCCAACAGCGAGTGTGGCAGGGCTGCCCCAAATACATTTTTACATAATTATTTCAGTGTCTGTGAATGGTTTTACATCTAGTTTTTTGCATTAATATTCAATAGTGTGTAATTTGTGGAATTTATATAGTTAAATGTGTGAAACATCGCTATTTTAAAAAATATGGGGCTCATATATGGTGACACGTATAGTATATTCTTAGATCAATCAGTGTTCTTGCCTTTTATTACATAATATACAGTAAACACTTTATATATTACTATCAACATTTATATGTATCATAATGAAGTAAAGGCAGTTCTGGTGGGTATGATATGAAATCAAAACACAGCATGGAGCCCACGGCATCGAGCAGACAATGCCACCAGTATGAAAGATGTAACACAAAACTTGATGTCTGAACACTTGAAAGATTATAAATATGTTTTTGGTCAAAATTTTAAAATATTTGTTAAAATTCTATTTATTGTGCTATTATTATTATGGGACTAGTTTTAAATGTACGCCTTTACATTGCGAACAATTTGATACTAAAATTAAAGATGTAACACGAAATTTTATGTCAGAACACTGGAATGATATAAATAATTTTGTGATGATGAACGTTCAAAATTAAAATACTTGTTAAAATTCCAGTTTTTGCTCTATTATTATGGGACTATTTTTAAAATACATGCCTTTATATTGCGAACAATTTGATACCAAAATGAGCGAAGTAACACAAAAATTGATGTTATCAAACTGAACGAGTATGCACATTAGGTTGTTCTGAATGTGTTGATGGTGAATGTATATAGTGTGTGACAGTGTATAGTCTGTAAATAGATTGTATATATACATAAATTAGCATGATACATGGTGAATATGTGCAACAAATGTGTACACAAGTGTCATGCACTTAACACAGTGTCTTTGGACAGTACGGATGTTTTACTGCCATAATATAGTGTATGTGTTCATTATACATAGGATTAGCATGTAAAAACAAATAAAATGTATTTGGAACTGTGCGCAAAAAATATGCAAAAATATATTCGTGGCAACTCGTGCGCCCCGCCCCGGGCGCCCCACCGGCCCCGAGAGCATACTGCTCTGGCGCACGGGGAATTATGACGACACGGCCCACCTTTCGGACCCCATAGCAGCCAAAGTAAGTACAATTTCGAACTTGCGTTGCTTTACCCATATACAGGGAGGGGTTTTTGACACTTTCCGAAGAAAAAATAATTTTTTCCCAAGGTTTCATTTCCTGCGCACTGGGGGGATGTCATATTTATAGGCTGCGCAGTTAAAGGGTTAATGAAGATAAGTTCCAGCTCATGCGCTATGGAAAAAATGAAAATATAAAAACGGAAACCACGTACAAAACTCAGGCAAATCATAACATAGAACGAAAAGGCAATGTAAAGGATCTGGGTGTACTCATGTCGGAAGACCTTACCTTTAAAGAACACAATAAAGCAGCCGTCACAACTGCAAGAAAAATGACAGGTTGGATAACAAGAACTTTTCACACTAGAGATGCTATACCGATGACACTTTTCAAAACGCTTGTGCTCTCTAGAGTGGAGTACTGCTGCACAATGACAGCACCTTTCAAAGCTGGAGAAATTGCTGACCTAGAGAGCGTGCAGAGATCCTTTACTGCTAAAATCCACTCAGTAAAACATCTAAACTATTGGGACCAACTAAAGAGCCTAAATCTGTACTCCCTTGAGCGCAGGCGGGAGAGGTACATAATAATTTACACGTGGAAAATATTATAGGGGCTGGTCCCAAATCTGCACACAAAAATAACATCACATGAGACCAGAAGACATGGCAGGATGTGCAGAATACCCCTGTTGAAAAGCAGAGGTGCAACAGGTACTCTGAGAGAGAACTCTATCAACATCAGAGGCCCGAGACTGTTCAACACGCTTCCGCTACACATAAGGGGCATAACTGGCAATCCCCTCACAGTGTTCAAGAGAGAACTGGATAAGCACCTCCAAAGGATACCTGATCAACCAGGCTGCGACTCATACGTCAGGCTGAGAGCAGCCGCGTCCAATAGCCTGGTTGACGACCGGGCCGCGGGGACGCTAAGCCCCGGAAGCACCTCAAGGTAACCTCAAGGTAACCATGCTAATCTAGAAGTTGGAAACATTTATCAGTACTGTACTGTACTTGATGCAAACCAAAGAGGTAATCACAAGAGAGACCAATGAACACAGGAGGCAAATTAAACTTGATTCATATTTGGAAAGAACAGCAACCATAGGATCTCCAACTACTGAAACCTCACAAGGAATCAAAACACCTTTAACCAGTGAAGCCTCACCAGAAAGCCAAGAGCCTTCAACCAATGAAGCTTCAGCAGCTGGCAGTCAAGACTGACTTTGCTAAGCTCATGGTGTACTGTACAGTAATTTGGGTGTTGTGTTAAGTTAGGTTATATAAATTTTCAAGAATTATTGATTTGAAGATACACAGAACTGCACAGTCCTGTATGCAGCATCAATCAAGAAGACTAACTACAATAAGGTTAGCTGAAGTTTGTTTTAGATTTCAGTACTGTACTTTTACATTTTTTTTAATTAGACTGAGTAAATTCAAATTATGTTGCTTATGATACAAAAATGGGTGAATACAGTATGTTCACTATTGGATTTCCCGAGTAAAAATTTTGCTTATCCACATGTCTGACAATGAGCAAGAGAAGAGGGGGGGGGGCCTTCTCCCAGATAATTTGGATAAGTGAGCTTGGCTATATCCTCGTATAACATTATTGTTGGCTATTCAATATCTAAGACTGGGCAGGTTGAAGTCCCCCAAGTAAGATAATATCTGGTATTAGGTTTGCCAGATTATCTAGGCCTTTCTTTATTTTGCTAATCTGCTCTGTGAATTCTTAAACCGTAGCATGTTGGGATGGGATGCTTGGATACAAGTCCACAGGGGTGCTGGGATGTTGGGATACAAGTCCACAGGGGTGCTGGGATACAGGTCCACAGGGGTGCTGCTGGGATACAGGTCCACAGGGGTGCTGCTGGGATACAGGTCCACAGGGGTGCTGCTGGGATACAGGTCCACAGGGGTGCTGCTGGGATACAGGTCCACAGGGGTGCTGCTGGGATACAGGTCCACAGGGGTGCTGCTGGGATACAGGTCCACAGGGGTGCTGCTGGGATACAGGTCCACAGGGGTGCTGCTGGGATACAGGTCCACAGGGGTGCTGCTGGGATACAGGTCCACAGGGGTGCTGCTGGGATACAGGTCCACAGGGGTGCTGCTGGGATACAGGTCCACAGGGGTGCTGCTGGGATACAGGTCCACAGGGGTGCTGCTGGGATACAGGTCCACAGGGGTGCTGCTGGGATACAGGTCCACAGGGGTGCTGCTGGGATACAGGTCCACAGGGGTGCTGCTGGGATACAGGTCCACAGGGGTGCTGCTGGGATACAGGTCCACAGGGGTGCTGCTGGGATACAGGTCCACAGGGGTGCTGCTGGGATACAGGTCCACAGGGGTGCTGCTGGGATACAGGTCCACAGGGGTGCTGCTGGGATACAGGTCCACAGGGGTGCTGCTGGGATACAGGTCCACAGGGGTGCTGCTGGGATACAGGTCCACAGGGGTGCTGCTGGGATACAGGTCCACAGGGGTGCTGCTGGGATACAGGTCCACAGGGGTGCTGCTGGGATACAGGTCCACAGGGGTGCTGCTGGGATACAGGTCCACAGGGGTGCTGCTGGGATACAGGTCCACAGGGGTGCTGCTGGGATACAGGTCCACAGGGGTGCTGCTGGGATACAGGTCCACAGGGGTGCTGCTGGGATACAGGTCCACAGGGGTGCTGCTGGGATACAGGTCCACAGGGGTGCTGCTGGGATACAGGTCCACAGGGGTGCTGCTGGGATACAGGTCCACAGGGGTGCTGCTGGGATACAGGTCCACAGGGGTGCTGCTGGGATACAGGTCCACAGGGGTGCTGCTGGGATACAGGTCCACAGGGGTGCTGCTGGGATACAGGTCCACAGGGGTGCTGCTGGGATACAGGTCCACAGGGGTGCTGCTGGGATACAGGTCCACAGGGGTGCTGCTGGGATACAGGTCCACAGGGGTGCTGCTGGGATACAGGTCCACAGGGGTGCTGCTGGGATACAGGTCCACAGGGGTGCTGCTGGGATACAGGTCCACAGGGGTGCTGCTGGGATACAGGTCCACAGGGGTGCTGCTGGGATACAGGTCCACAGGGGTGCTGCTGGGATACAGGTCCACAGGGGTGCTGCTGGGATACAGGTCCACAGGGGTGCTGCTGGGATACAGGTCCACAGGGGTGCTGCTGGGATACAGGTCCACAGGGGTGCTGCTGGGATACAGGTCCACAGGGGTGCTGCTGGGATACAGGTCCACAGGGGTGCTGCTGGGATACAGGTCCACAGGGGTGCTGCTGGGATACAGGTCCACAGGGGTGCTGCTGGGATACAGGTCCACAGGGGTGCTGCTGGGATACAGGTCCACAGGGGTGCTGCTGGGATACAGGTCCACAGGGGTGCTGCTGGGATACAGGTCCACAGGGGTGCTGCTGGGATACAGGTCCACAGGGGTGCTGCTGGGATACAGGTCCACAGGGGTGCTGCTGGGATACAGGTCCACAGGGGTGCTGCTGGGATACAGGTCCACAGGGGTGCTGCTGGGATACAGGTCCACAGGGGTGCTGCTGGGATACAGGTCCACAGGGGTGCTGCTGGGATACAGGTCCACAGGGGTGCTGCTGGGATACAGGTCCACAGGGGTGCTGCTGGGATACAGGTCCACAGGGGTGCTGCTGGGATACAGGTCCACAGGGGTGCTGCTGGGATACAGGTCCACAGGGGTGCTGCTGGGATACAGGTCCACAGGGGTGCTGCTGGGATACAGGTCCACAGGGGTGCTGCTGGGATACAGGTCCACAGGGGTGCTGCTGGGATACAGGTCCACAGGGGTGCTGCTGGGATACAGGTCCACAGGGGTGCTGCTGGGATACAGGTCCACAGGGGTGCTGCTGGGATACAGGTCCACAGGGGTGCTGCTGGGATACAGGTCCACAGGGGTGCTGCTGGGATACAGGTCCACAGGGGTGCTGCTGGGATACAGGTCCACAGGGGTGCTGCTGGGATACAGGTCCACAGGGGTGCTGCTGGGATACAGGTCCACAGGGGTGCTGGGATACAGGTCCATAGGGGTGCTGGGATACAGGTCCACAGGGGTGCTGGGATACAGGTCCACAGGGGTGCTGGGATACAGGTTTACAGGGGTGCTGGGATACAGGATCACAGGGGTGCTGGGATACAGGATCACAGGGGTGCTGGGATACAGGTTCACAGGGGTGCTGGGATACAGGTCCACAGGGGTGCTGGGATACAGGTCCACAGGGGTGCTGGGATGTTGGGATAAAGGTCCACAGGGGGTGCTGGGATGTTGGGATACAGGTCCACTGGGGTGCTGGGATGTTGGGATACAGGTCCACTGGGGTGCTAGGATGTTGGGATACAGGTCCACTGGGGTGCTGGGATACAGGTCCACAGGGGTGCTAGGATAATGGGACACAGGTCCACTTAGGTGCTGGGATGTTGGGACACAGGTCCACAGAGATGTTGATGTTGGGATACAGATCCGCAGGGACGTTGATGTTGGGATACAGGTCCACAGGGGTGCTAGTATGTTGGGATACAGGTCCACAGGGGTGCTGGTATGTTGGGATACAGGTCCACAGGGGTGCTGGGATACAGGTCCACAGGGGTGCTGGGATACAGGCCCACAGGGGTGCTGGGATACAGGTCCACAGGGGTGCTGGGATACAGGTCCACAGGGGTGCTGGGATATTGGGATACAGGTCCACAGGGGTGCTGAGATGTTGGGATACAGGTTCACAGGGGTGCTGGGATGTTGGGATACAGGTCCACAGGGGTGCTGGGATGTAGGTCCACAGGGGTGCTGGGATGTTTGGATACAGGTCCACAGGGGTGCTGGGATACAGGTCCACAGAGGTGCTGGTATACAGGTCCACAGGGGTTCTGGGACACGGGTCCACAGGGGTTCTGGGACACGGGTCCACAGGGGTTCTGGGACACGGGTCCACAGGGGTTCTGGGACACGGGTCCACAGGGGTTCTGGGACATGGGTCCACAGGGGTGCTGGGACATGGGGGTGCTGGGACACGGGTCCACAGGGGTGCTGGGACACAGGTCTACAGGGGTGCTGGGACACGGGGGTGCTGGGACACAGGTCCACAGGGGGTGCTGGGACACAGGTCCACAGGGGTGCTGGGACACAGGTCCACAGGGGTGCTGGGACACAGGTCCACAGGGGTGCTGGGACACAGGTCCACAGGGGTGCTGGGACACAGGTCCACAGGGGTGCTGGGACACAGGTCCACAGGGGTGCTGGGACACAGGTCCACAGGGGTGCTGGGACACAGGTCCACAGGGGTGCTGGGACACAGGTCCACAGGGGTGCTGGGACACAGGTCCACAGGGGTGCTGGGACACAGGTCCACAGGGGTGCTAGAGGTGTTTGTTTGGGATACACTAGGGGGGGGGGGTGGAGGGGCCCCAGCACCCTCTTCTCCTTGTGGGGGGAGACTGCACCTGCTGCCTCGCCCTCGCCACTGCCACCCTCCTCACCCTGGCCACCCTCGTCACCCTGGCCACCCTCCTCACCCTGGCCACCACCACGTGGCCACAGCTGGCCCAAGGCTGCCGTCGTCACCAGCCACTTACTTCCCCTTCGACCATATTGCCTTTAAAAAGACCAGGCCCAGCTCGCCCTCTATTTTCCTCCCCCTTCCAACTTTCTTTTCCCCCGTAGCGTGTGTTTGGTGGTCGCTCCTCGGCACTTGCACTCCGGTATTTACCTTATAAACACTCCTCGGGGCACCGAGTGTGAGGCCCGACTGATGGCACAAATGTGAGGGCGAGAAGCAGGAAGTTAAAGGCCTCTCGCTGCACCGCGGCCAAACACCTAACTGAATGGTCGAAAATGGCCTCGCTCCCCGTCATTCATCCTTGTGACGTCACTGGGCACCACTTTGTAAACAACTGCTTATCTTGACCCCTTTGTTTCTGCAAACACCTCCACAGGGGGCACGTTTGTTGTGTGTGACTGTCTGCTCTGGTATATGGGTTATGGCTGGGGTTTAACGGCTGTTTTGTTGGTTAAAGTACATACTAGTTTTTCTGACGTCATGATAGTAGGAAACTCTCCGTAATGGAAAAACTATAATGCTTTACATCAATATATGCTAATAATATATAACTGCAAAAAAATATAATAGACTATCAACTGAATTTAAATTATTCTTCATATTTATTATTTTATTAATTCAAGATTTATTTATAATAGATAAACACATAAAATGTCTAATACTGTTTTGATCTCTGTTAATGTTTCAACCTTTGGCGCGCAAAGTCAGCTGTTGTTTTCCAGGCGGCCTCGGGGGGTCGAGGTGACTAGCACAACTAATAGAAGAGATCTCTGGCAAATTATCACCGCAGTTACTGTATCATTGGTTGTGAAGGTGAAGGCAGGTGAACATGCAGGCGAAGAAGATGAGACCGACGCGGTACGCTCACTATGAGGGCCACACAGACATCTGTTATACCGACGACGGCAGGTGGGACCTCGGGGAATCCTTCTTTGTTAACATGCCGCCTTCACAACAAGTTTAGTTTCGAGTTATTTCTATACTGATTGTGTGTGTAATTTTAAATAAAAGTTTAAAGGTATATCTCGTCTGTCGTGAGAAATGTAATTGTTATCAAAATCATTACAACAAAATTTGATCTACCCTGTAACCCCTGCTAGCAAACATTTTTGGGCTTTCAACCCGATTAAGTTGTTGCATTCCCTTATATTATCTTGTATATCCAAATAATGAAGCACCTCGCATGATCACTTCCAAAACAAATGCTTCATTAGGTTATAAAACGGCATCCCACTCGATAACACTCAGAAATCGCAATAGCGTGATGCATCAAATGAACAAATCCACAATAGGATCCAATAAGTTCAGTAGAACTTCGGTTTCAACTCTTTTGACCATGTCGTAGCACAGTTGATTAAGGCAGCGTCCGGGATGGTCTCGGACACAGGTTCAAATCCTCATCACGGCCCTTGTGGATTTGTCCCACTTGATAAACTTGTAATCGGAGGCAATACCCCCATGGGGCCTGTATCCAAATAGTACCCTGACAGATATCCATATAATGTATCCCCCCCCCATGCCTTTATTCCAGTATGTAAGCTGTATAATGGTCTGGAAATATTGTGGTCAAAATGAATTTCTAAAACCAAATTTTTTATTGGTGATAGTTGTGGCCATCAGTGATTTATTTATCTTTCAGTAGTGGACTAATGAATAAGAGGCACCTCAATAATCCTTATCTTATCAGTCTGGAGTTCATCCAGATTTTGGTATATTTATCAGTGTTTGAAAGTTTCCGATACAAAATAAAATAGCTTCTGTATATTTAAATACTGAGCACATAATATATGAACAAGGATTTTGTGTATACAGTAGTTCTATTTCTTTGGCTTGTATATGCATTGCAATAGAATTATTGTATAGCATATAAACAAGGGTTTTGTATATACTGTACTTGTAATTCTTATATACTCAATACAAAACATTTGAACCCAATAATGTTTTTGTAGCACAGGATGATCTTTGACTAAATAGCAGCAGCAAAATGCAGTTACTGTACTTTATACAGTGGCAACTTACTTACAGATCTTTGGCAAGTCACAAAGAATTGGTGTATTCTGTGTAACCAATATTTTCCTACACAAATTTGAGTGGACACAAAACACAAGCTGAACATTAACCCTTTTATTGTTTATCATTATATGTTGCTTCTCTGGGTAATGCAGCTATCACTGGTTGATTTGTTGTTATTGCCCAGATTTATACTAATGGTATAAATATGGATATAATGCATCAATATAGATGTAGACCCATGAAAAACTCTCCTATTGGTTTTTAATTGTTTAATACCAGTATGTGATGATGTTCCCATGTATCAGTAATTGTTATCATCAAACCATACTTTGATGTGTCCCTCTGGTGTTTAAATCTATTTCAGATGACATCACCTAATAGATTAGCATCAACGTTTGTAACTATACACTCCCTTTGAACTGTGTTGGGAGCAGATTTGTGCAATATTGGTCAACAGGTTACATTGGAGGCATGTGTACAGTACCCAGCCACTGATAGGTGACCATGGCATGGAAGCATCATGGGGGAAATTCATGGTCATCATTGAACTCGTTAAAATATGTGCCAAAAAGGAAAAAGGAAAGTAAGGGAACTACTGTAGATGGATGGCACAGGTAGTAAAAATTAGCTGAGATAACTTAGGGGAACCTCGGGATATTGTATAAATCAATGAAGAACATAGATTATGAGATACAGTATATAGAAGGTCATTATATATAGCCACCCAGGAAATCAGATAAACCAAAGGAAACTACAAAAGAAAACTTGCTAAAAGCATAAGGACAGATCCATAGTCATTCTATTTGTATACAAGAAATCTGTACACATGCCTCCAATTCCAGAATGTGGAATGACCTTCCCAATTATGTCAAAGATTGTACCTCTCTCAACCAGTTTAAGATGAAAACTAAGTACTACCTAATTTACTCCATGTAACCTACCTTACTTCTAAATATCAACCCATGTCTTCCTATTTAAAAGAAAAAAAAATGTTTACCAACTTGTATATTGGCTATTTTTACCATGTTCCCCCCTTTTTTTTTTATCTTATTTTTTTTTCATTAAACACAATTTATACTTTAAGCTCAATTACTATTAAGTTTTAGTCTGTGTTTTTTTCCCCACCTTTCCTTGCCCGAAATGCTATGCGTACTAGTGGCTTTAGGTATTGTATGTACTTCCTCTATCTTTAAATCTAACAGAATGTTTGTACTGTAATGCTGCAACTATGTATGTACTGTTCCTAAATAAATTATTATTATTAAGTAAAACCAAAACAATGGTCTCGGTAAGACCCATAAAAGTTAAGATTAACCAATAAATGATAAAAGGGCAGCAAACATACTTAATGGAATACTTTACATCAGTGTTCACACTAGAAAGATTAGGCAACATCCCATAACCCACAAATGTTTGAAGGAGATGAAGTGAACACTTTAAGGGATTCCATAGCATGACTAGATCAGAAAGGGCAATGACAAACTCAAAAATTCAAAAGCCCCAGGTGTGGACAGAATTCAATCCAAGGCAGATGAACTATGCCTACCACTGAAACTCCTTTTCAGAAAATGTCTGAGCCAAGGATAGTTCCCCTAGATTGGAAATACTGTATGCAAATATCACCTCTATTTAAAAAAAAAAAGGGCAGAAAGAGCTTGACAGAATAGTTCTGTGTGATTAGCTTGGTTTCACATGTCAGCAAACTCATGGAGAGAATCCTTAGGGAGGGAATCATTTAACATCTCAGTGAACAGTCTTGTAAAATTGATATAACTTGGGTTTGTTTAAAAATAGATCCTGCCTTACAAATCTGCTCATATATCTGGGGGTAGCCCCTACGGCTCCCTGGAGCTATCCAGGCTGATATGCTAATGTCAGACTTTGGCATTAGTCATGTGTATAGAGTTCTATGGGCCTACCGGGGACCACGGCCAGAACCTGGCCCCCCTCAGAGAGGCAAGGGGAGCAATGGTCTATAGAAGCCCCCCGTGTGGTTGGAAGCATTCTATGTCTGCCATCGATCGGGTCAGGCACCCAGAAAGGTAAGCATCCCGAAACAAACCCCTATTCTGGTGAAAATATTGCTACCAAAAGCTGTACAAGTGGATAGAACTCCCCCCCCCCCCCCCAAAAAAAAGAGAGCAAACTAGTGACGTCACCCATTGCTGCGCCGCCGTCTGCGCAGCTCCCCCCCTCCCTTGGAGGGGAAAAGGGGAGCCCCAGACCTACCGCACCGGCGATCCACACCCCAGTTCTTGAGGCTGATGTTATAGGCAGCGGTTGTGTGACCTGGCTCCAGACTTTTACGGCGCTGTGCCTTGTGTGTGGTGGTTTTTCTCCAGGGGTGCGAGAGCCAGGAGTTACTCTTCAGTACTCGGGCTGCATGCGCCTAGGGTTCCCTTCCCTAGGTGCCCTGTAAGTACTGCCCAGGGAGCTTCGGGTTACCTTCCTCAGGTTCCTTGGGATCTGCATCTGTGGGTCCGTTTACCTGCTTGGTTTTTGGCCGCCCTTTGGGTACTTGGGGTGTTTTGTCTCCCTAGTTTTCCTTAGGGTAGGAGGCAGTTTTGCACTGGTAAAGGGCGCAGGGTGCTGTGCAGCTTGTCACCAATCACAGCGAGCGGCTCTGTTCCTTGGGGTACTTTGTCATCTTGCGGGGTTTTGTTTTCTTTTTCTTTTTGCCTTGTAGGGGGTTCTGCCCTACTTGCCACTGGTGTTTGGCCTCATCCTGATACTTGGTGGTGCCCCCTGCTAGGTCCCTGTGAGCATACATGTCCCTGGGGTTCAGCTGTAGGCAGTTTGTTTGGTAGTTTTGGGCACCGGTTAGCAGTACCCTGCCTGGGTTTACCTGAGCGCAAGTCCTCTTATAGTAAACGCTCAGGACCCTGGGAATCCCCTAGGTGACACGTGGGTCTGATGAATGCGACCCCGGAGTCCCTCCTCACTTCATGCTTGAGTTTGAGGGTTGTTCAGTCCCTGTGTCTCAAGGCGACCCTCACGTTTTTTCCTCCGTCGCGCTGCCTGTTGGGTCGGTGACACTTTCAACCCTGAGTTCAGTGAGTTTTGCTGCTTGCTGGTGACTCAATTTACCCAATCTGCGGATGATCATCTTCGGGTACAGGCTGTGCAGGCGTTGCATTCTAGGTTTCGTTTGTTGCAACGCGCTAGGTTGGTTGTTCACCTGGATGCCCCACGGCTGCCCCATTTTGCTTATAGGGACCCGGACTTGGGGGTGGGGGTCGCCTCGACCCTGGTTCAGTCCTCACCACCTCGTCCTTCCCCTCCTGTTGTTCGTTCTGGTCCCCCTACCCTGCTTCTGGCCCCGAAACGTCTGAGGGTTTCGGAGTCAGGGCAGGGGTTAGTTGGTCTTGAGATGCGGGCAGCCTTGGGGGATGCCCCTTCCGGTGTGGCGACGGAGTCATTCGAGTCTACTCCCCCTGCTGAAGCCTCTGGGTCTGACCAGTGGGCCCCCCTTCTGTCCGGCTTTTACGGCTGCCCTGGCCTTGTCTGGTGGGGTCCTTGGGGGTAGGACTGCCCCGGGTCCTGCGGAGTAGGACCTTGGGGGAAGGACTCTGCCCTGGGTCCTGCGGAGGAGGACCTTGGGGCTGAGGAGGGGATGACTTTGGACCTTGAGCTCCGCTGGACCCCACCTGGGTTTTTCTGCCCTCTGAGCGGGGCTTACTGTTACAAGGAGTGGGGTTTTCTTTTCCCCTCTCTGGGTACGAGTTGGACTTGGTGCCTACCCCTTCCCTGGTTCGGTTCTGTGTTCCTCCGGGTGCTTCGGTTCTGTCTTTCCGGAGGATTTCAGCTTATCGCATCCAACCTGCTGCGGTGCGGGAGGCCCTTGCTGCAAACCTCCTGCGTGACCCGGATTATGCCTTGGCAGTGAATCCCTCGGC